TTATTGGAAAATATGCATTTAATTACAAGAAGTGAAACATCATCCGCAGTGCTTCACAGGAGGGAGAGGCTGCTACAAAATTTTCCTTTTTTTTTTCTCTCCGTAGGATGTCTGCAGGATCATGGGTAATTTAGTTTTTCACCAGTAATTCTGCTATTAAACATCATTATTTAAAATAAAAATGTTGAAATAATGCAGGTCGATGGCGTCAATGAAAGTATATAACATAAAGGTCTGTCTTCAGTGGTTTATAAGTTATTGTTAAAAACCAAATTCCCTATGGAACAAAAATGAATGAGAATTTTACATCCTGTTGCACTCTATTATGTTGAGCTGAACTTTGGACCAATGAGATTTCACTGTGGGCGGGGCTACGCATTTCACTGCTCATGTGGAATGAATGAGGGTGTCTTATGTACCTTGTAAGACTTCTTTTCTAGCAGGCTCTCACTGCCACAGTTAGAGGTGTTGTACTGCATCTTACTGGGGTCATTCTCTCTGAACCACGCCGGGACGAGACCCCAGTTCATCGCTGCCAACACGCACTCATCTACCGGGGCATCCTATGGAAAGCGCTTAATTAAACAGCTGTTCTTCAAGAACAAATGTTGTGCATATATGTTTAGACATGCCTTGTTGAAGTGTCTGTTGGACACCAGTACAGGGCTGAAGGACTGAGGACTCTTGTTGTATGAGGGCCGGAATTTGTCAGTGTCTCCGTCCTTCCATCGGGGCCCGTGTGGTTGTCCCGTCCTGTCTTGATAGCGAGCCGCACGACTGAGCTCATTCAGCACAAGAGTGCAAGCCGTTCTCCCGCACATTCTGGCACACGCCAAACCTGCGTGACGTCACCACAAATTAGACAATGCATTACTTAATGCTTTAAATGAATTATCTTGCTTTGATTTCGCATTTTTTGCTCAAAACAACACAAACACTGGAATTTACGTTTATTTGTATAGCAAATGTTTTTCTATAATAATTGTTGAATTTTCAGTATGGTACATTTATTTATATTTACTAAATTCTTTATTCACAAATGTAAATGAGCATCACAAAAAAAACACTTTACTTATTTTAAAATAGAAATAGGTCACTTACCTTTATTATTTAGAATTAAATAGAAATAACAAAGCAAAATTACTGTACATTACGCAAAAGCCATCTCTTTTAGTTGGTTTATTTACAATTCACAACATTTATGTTATTTGCATAAAGATGCTGATATACAAATCTGTACACTTTCTTTTTTTTTATTAATATTCTTATGTTTATCTTAGTATTTCAATTTTCTATTATTATTTTTTTTCATGGTTAGCTTTGGTTGTGTTCACTGTTCCAAATGTTGCCATAAAAGCATTTACTTATCGCAACATAACGCCATCAAAGCACTTTCTAAATGCACTGGTGTAGTTCTGCCAATCGGTTCTTTCAAACGGTTCGAAAAAGCGATTCAGTGATTCTTTTGTGTCATTACGTAAAACGTCATCGCGCGGTTTCTGATGTTCAAGGAAATCGTCTAATGTCTTGGCTATGAAAGTTCCTTACTTTTCTTATAATTC